TTCAAATAACCCAACAAAAAGTAGTATAACAGTGTTAAATCACAACTTCTTGAAGGCCATTCAATGTCACTATTTCTTGATATAATCGAATCTTCAAACTTTTCTCGCAATAATTCGGTTGTTGCGTGTGCTGTGCGGCACGTAGCACGTAGTCTTGTTGTAACCAGTTGCTGTCAAGATCAACATCATTCAATTGCGGCCATAAAAAGTTGGATCGATCTATGCAGTTCTCTATTGACAATAACGATATTCGAATATATCATTTCGAAGAAAGTGCGAACCGATGATCCGTAAACGACGACGAACTGTCAATTTAGGCGCATGTACTAGTTGTTCATGAATAATTCGTGAATTTTCGTCGCAGCAGAGTAGGCAGTTTTCGTTATTTACCGCAACCCTAAGCTGAAAGTTAACCTCAACGTATAAGATTATTTTCTTAAAAATTCGATAAGTTGTTCTAAATAATTTATATCTCATATAGAAGACTTTTAATGTGTTAAGATTATGGTCGTTCGAATACGCTAAGATCAAAATCGAAACAAAGTCCTTGATATTTATATTTAGCAAAACTACCATAAATATCTTTACGGAAGCATCGTCATCATAAATAACACCGTTAGCAATAGATTAGCCAGTTTTACTGGATTTTGGACTCAAAAAAAAAAATTATTATAAATATTTGTAATAAGCAGATCGGATCGGTTGCATGTGAAAGCTTTGTGTAGATTAATGATAAGCTGTAATAAAATATAACATTTTAGTTTTTTTCGTTCATTGAATGAAAGGCAATTCATGAAATATCCATAAATTTTTTTAGAGCTAGCCGCATACCCAATCAATTTCATTCGAAAAAAATGCAAGTGATATTTATTTTATTTTCCTGAAGAATATATGTATACAACTACGCTCCGACTTTGGGATTCAGAAAGAACCTGAATTAAGAGCTTCCCACAGAAGATAGCTACAATTTAGATTATAAATCAATCGCGAAAGCGCCATAATCCCAAAATTTTACTACCCTTTAAGATAATTAAAAATATGTTTATATTTTTTCTCCTTTATAAAAAAAAATTAAACACTTCTCTATATTTTCTTTACTTTTTTTTCAAGCATGTTTTATATGTTGATTGGAACCGTGTTAGATAAAGTTATTTAGTATGGAAGTAGATATGTCGGTAATAAAACCCAATTTCAGAGTTTATCTGCCACCTGTCGGTGACTAATATGCATTGGACAAACTATGCAAATGATTCATAAACACATTAGGAGGTAATTTAAGTACAATGTCATTTATTCGAAATTATTAATTATAGAAATAAAGGGTGTTCCTAGAGAGGTTTAGGTTTTTTTTTTTAAGTACAAAGGAAATTTTTATTTGCATCATAAATGCCAAACAAAGTTGGTTATTTTGACAGTTAGTTTGACAGCCAACCTTTTGAATATTCAAAACCTTTAACTGTAATATGGCAGGCATGAAAACGACATAAATCATGGCTCTATACCATAGCATTACCATTACCATAACATTACTAACCATTAACTATAACATTATGTCCCACTTCATATTTGAATAAATATGGACCAATGTTTCTCTTTGCCGTTTGATCACACCAAACAGTTACTTTTTGAGGACATAACGACGTCTCAGCAATGGTTTGTTGATTAGCAAAACTCCAAATCCTTCAGTGAAATCATCCGGAAAGTAGATGAGCAGAGTTCCAATTGTTGCTTGAGATGGTGCATGGATTCATTCGAGTTTTCTTCGACACTCGGCTTCACAGTATTGCTGCTGCTGCGTCTTTGGTGCGCCTTGTACATTGTCTCTGAGGATGCGCAATTTCCACAAGAGTAAACAGGGTGCAAAAGCGATTCATTTTTGCTTGATTCACCGCCTACTAGACGATTAAGAGATCAATTGAAAAGTCCCCGGCCTCTCATAGTAAAACACACAATTTTTTAATTCAACATAATTCCTTTCAAGGGTGATACATTGATTATAACCACCCTCCAACTTTTCGATATCATTTTTGTAGTACGATTTCTCCTTTGCTTCAAAATAGGTCTCAGTTTCGGCGATCACCTCTTCATTAGACGAAAATTTCTTCCGCGCGAGCATTCTTTTGAGATCTTAGAGTAGAAAATAATCACTGGTCGCCAGATCTGGACAATACGCTGTATACGGAAGCAAGTACATGGATTTTTGCCATCGTTTTCACTGACTTGTGACTTTCTTTCGCCGACTTCGGCTATTTCGTGTTTGTACTCTGGGTACTGGGTATATTAAGATTGGCACGAAGTTTGTAGCAACCAGAAGTAAACTAAAATAAAATATATAAATGATCAGCGCGATGAGCTCTGCCGATCTGTATTTACGCGAACTTTCTGGTTTTGAGATATCGATTTGAATTTTTGCACACGTTTTTTATCCCTAAAAGACTACTTAGCTGTCATACGAAATGATAATCAATCAGTCAAGTCCTTGTATGGAATTTTTTTTGTTTGAACAGATATCTTCATAAAATTAGTTGTTTAAGGCAACACTACAATATTTGAAAAAATTTTCCAGAACGGAGATATAGATCCATTACTTGTGAAGGGTATTCTAGCATCGGTAAAATCGTAGTTAAGTTTTTTTATTGTTTTCGGATAAAATTGGTCAAAATGTTGCAACATTGTCTCACAAACAGTATTTACCGCATTGGAAGTCATCTCTCTAAAGTATTTGTTAGCTATTCAGTTTGATTAACCTACCTTCAGTTGTAAACAAACACTACACTTTTTCTTATATTTAGTAACAATAAAAATTGAAATAACTTTGAATCCACGCTGATAAATCATATTTGTTTCTTTTAGTAATTGTAGAAAGCAAAGTTTCGTCAAAGAGAAATATGGGCATGGACTTATCTTATCACGATCTCAACAACGATGACAAGCTCTATACCCAGACTTTGGAAAAGCAATTGAGAATTGGGCGAAATGTGATTGTCTTCTCGGCGTCACATAATAATCTTACACAAATACCATTTCGAACGTTATCCACAATCAATTCGACTTTACAGTATCTAACATTGAAGGGCAATAATTTCAACTCTTACACGCAGCCGACTCCAGCCCATGGTGAGTTAAAGAAGAAATAGATGAAATAAAAAAAAAACTATTCCAGTAATTGGCGATTGTCAACACAGACACTAATAACATATTATTTTAATTTTTTAATTTTAGAAATGTTCGATGCTACCGATCTGAACGGAACTGCAGCAATGTTAGCCGGAATTCCACCGTTTACTTATCGTGATTTTATAAAGGGAATCGAGTCGAAGAAAAAAAATCAAGATAGTGAGTAATTTTGTTGTTTATTTGAATACGTCAAATGTTTGCAAAAAAAAATTAGGTTATTTTTTGGTTAAAGTTATTTTAATATATGTAACGGGTGATCTGTTTTGAGTCTCCCCACTTTCTTAAAGAAAAAACGCTAAAATTTCAAATGTAATGGTTCGTTCGAACATTTCGAGTGCTACCTGGCGAATGACACGCGTGATGTTTTGCTCCAAAGAATCGAAGCATGATTGTCCGCATAGACTTTAGAGTTTGCATATACCCGCAGGAAAAATTCTAACGGTGTGATATCACATGAACTTGGTTGCCAATTCACCAGCACAGAACGTGAAATTCTCTGCTCACCGAAGTGTTCTCTTAATAAATTCTTTGATTGGTGCGATGTGTGGAAAATGATGCCGTCTTGTTGAAACTGAATGTGACCGAGATCACGACCTTCAATTTCAGTCGGTTATCATAGTGCGATAACGGTCGTCTATAACGGTTACGTTCTCACCGGTATTATTTTTGAAGAAATCGGGACTGACGATGATTCCAACGGCTCACAAACCACACCAAACCCTTCTTTTTGCTGAATGAAATGACAGCTCTTAAATCTCTTCAGGTTAATCTTAGTCCCAAATGTGGCAATTTTGCTTGTTTACATATCCATTGACCCAGAAATGGGTCTAATCTCTGTACAAAATTTGGCTCCAATACGTCGGATCTTCTTGGAACTTTTCAAGAGCCCATAGAGTCGAGCGACTACAGTTCTTACACAAGCTGATCGTGATTCATTTTTATAATTAACCTCACATTTGATATCACATGGATAGTTTAAGAGTTCGATCCCAACACTGATCCAACTTGTACATCTCAAAACGCCGATCCGTTGTGCTTTCTAAAACTCTAATATATAGTAATATGTCATAAGACCTTTAAAATCGCCGAGATGTTTCATCATCAATATGGCAAAAGCTGAAAAATAGAGGAGAAAGTACTTAAATGTTTCCACCTCACTATCCTTCATACAATTTTGTAAAATTGCGTCCCTTTAGATTTTTAGCCTTTCCAAATGAATCCCTATTACACAATGTCCATTAAGAACCCCTACCATTGCGGCAAGATGAGCTTTGCTAAGTTCTATAGACAAGTAGTTTAGATGATCTCCTGCGTTCTACTATAGTTCAAAAGGATCTTGCAGTTGAGCAGGAGTGGGTCATCGACTAGAGGCTAAAAAGCGCACGCGAGGTAACGCTAAAATATCTCAAGAAATTATTCAGTTTGGACCACTAAATCATATAGCTATCATTCACACTGGCAGACATAAATTAGGTCATTGTATGAATAACTTTTTTATTCGACAATATATCTTCATGAAAGAGCTTTGGTGCAGCAATTTTTTTCTAGTTTTTGACTTAAGCTTGACCTAAAAATTTAAGGTTTTAAGTAGGTTTATTAAAATAACTTCCAGAATGTATATCTTGATTCCCGGTTCCATCAAACTAGTTTCTTTTTTTCGAAATTTATATGACAACTCTAAAACAGATAAACCCAAGCACCTTGTATAGTTCTTCACAGATATATGATAGCGAAAAATCGTTTGCTTATTCGAAAACTATACACAGATCGCAGACAGCTGTTTAAATAATGATATACAATAATTTCATATCCGATTTGTGTCAATGTCGAGCTTGGCAAGCGAATTTAATGTCTAGATTTTATTTGCTCAGTATATAAAACTTAAATGCATTAACGGTTATAATATATTTATCCAGTACTTTCTTTTACCTTTTTTAGTTAAACCAATTCGACATTCATAAAAATTATAACAATCATACTCTTTTAAACATTTTACTATTAACAACTAAACTACTTAACCAACTGTTAAACCCTCGCTTCCTTCCTTTCTCCCTCTTCTTTCTCCTCACTTTCTCACACTTATTACACTTGGCATTCTCCCAGCGTACGCTGCTCGGCTTTGCATTTTTTCCATACGGGGATTTACGGTTCACCGGCACATAATAAATACCTCGAGCTTGCTCATTCACCCCATAACCCATCGTTGAGGTGTCTGTGGCTGGGCAATTTAATTTCTGTAAATCATTCCAATCCGCGCACTTCAAGCCAATGAAATTTTTTGCATTCCCAGGATAAACACTCTCGGCAAAGTACTCGACGGCACGTATATGCGCGCAGCCTACAGTCAAACAACCTGGTGGCAGCGAATTAGCACCACCAGGATAGAAATCAACATCGCCAAGCGGTTTCTTCTTCGCCAATATGCCGATATTTGTGTGAATGACATCCACAAAATCGGCATCGCCTCGTCGCAAGCTATAGAGTGTATCGTTTTTGTAAAAACATGGCTTAGCCGGATCCAAACCGGTAATGCGTGGTATTTTCTTTCCAGTTAATTTGGTGAAAGTACGACCAGCTTTACCCATTATATGTGCGCCCAGACTGTGTCCTATTTATAGGAGGAATAAAATATGATAAAATACACATTTCAATTTTAAATATTTTCTGTTAAAACACGGAGTTTCTTTAAGTATTTTACTCACCGACTAAGTGTATATTTTTTAGCGGAACTACTTTTATCAAATGCCTAAGACCTTTCGCTATATATTCGCCAATTTCCTCAGTATTTAATGCGGCCCATTTATATAATGTGTCTACATAGTATGCGGCATCAACTATCTGAAATTAGAATAATCAGAAAAGAGGCTCAATTATGTCTTAGACTCGAAGTTAAGATGGATGGCTTGAAGGGATTTGCACTGAGATATCGTGCTTTTCAGTTAATATAGAACATTTTCTCATCTATCTACCGTTCAGAGATGGCTCAAAACTTTTTCCTGACCTTTTACAGCTACAGTTCTTGAAAGATGTTTCCGGTCGCCGGTTTTCGAAAACGGACCTTCAGATCATCAAATGAGCTTTAATGTCACTAACCAAATACAAAATGAATACTCAGAGCAGGAATTTTCTTTATAGAAAAAAATAAGGAGAATATTAATTTTCCCAAATTTTGTCGTTTTTACTGACGGAAATTTATAGAGGGTATTCTAAAAATGCTTCCAACAAACAATGATTCTCTGATAAGAACAAAACTAACACTTTCAATAATCGCTTGCTAAATTTTACTTTAATCGACATCGTTTATATATAATTATGTTTGTTCTGCTCACTCACAATGAAATTCACATCCTTGCGACAAAGAAACGCCTTCGAAAGCAACGCCAACGTGGAAGAATCATTGACTGTATTGGTCCAACCGGTAGCTAAGATGACAACTTTTCTCTTCTTATTAAAGCTCATGTGTTGCCAAAGTTGTTCAGCCTTCATAAGTGGTACGCTGTAATTCTTACAGCTGGTAATGTATTGGAAATGCATTTTACTTATATCTGGTGTAAACTTGGCTGGTACATGCGCCAGGAACAGCGTGTTGGAACCTGTCCATAACATTTAAGGCTCATTTAAATTCTGTCATTATATTGTTTTTCTATTTATACAGCTTACATACATAGCTTGTCGATTAGTGTGGAGGCAAGTTGCAGTGGATATGCAGCTAACACGTTTTTCTTCTCCACAAGTAGTTCCGAAATTTTGTTCGAAAACGATGAAAACGACGAAAACATCGACCTACTGAGAGCCCGTGAATCGGCCGTGGCATTTTCTGCGTCTGACGACGTAAAGTTCGTTAGGCAGACAGTAGTTTGAGGGCGGACAGTAGTTTCAGAGGAGATATTAGTTTGAGAGGAGATATTAGTTTGAGAGGAGATATTAGTTTGAGAGGTGATATTCGTTTGAGAGGAGATATAGATATTAGTTTGAGAGGAGACAGTAGTTTGAGGGCAGATAGTAGTTTGCGCAAAGACAGTAGTTTCCGTAGCGACAGTAATTTCCGGCGCGGCAGTAGTTTCCGAAGTGGCAGTAATTTGCGTCTTATAAGTATTCGAAAGAATTACGCAGAAAACGAATATGATTGCGTAACTCATTTTGTAAATCGAGATCACTTATATTATTTAATTATAAATTTTTACAAGTCTTTCCGGGCTTCAACTGAAATGAATAAAAATAAGTTATGAAATGAATTATGAAGAAAGCCTATGATGCTAGCGCTGCGTACTTCAGTTTATATAATAACTTGTTTATTATGTAAGCTTTAATAAATAAATAAATAAGTTATTAAAAATTTTAGTTCTATAACACAGTGATGAAGATACAGTCTGAAAAAGTTGCGCGCTATACTACTATGAGCAAAAAATAGTAAGACTTTGTTTTTAATTTTAAAAATCATAATTTATTCTTCAAAATCTATGTCGTCCCCATAAAAGTTAACCCACGATATTCGGCCGATTAATCATCTGTTTCCGGGAGGCGATGAGCCTTGAATCTATGCTTATTCTATGCTTATTCAAGGCTCATCGCCAGTAATAATTCGTTTCATGGTATCCTGGCAGTTGGAAAGCATTGCTTCATAGACGTTAACGCGACAATGTATTTCGAAAAATTTGCTAGTTTGGGAAGCAAACGTGCTTTCACTTTTCTTGATAATAATAATCTTTTAAAATAGTTTTCACTGATCCTTCCGATATTCTAACGATACCAAGATCGATAAGATCTCTGATTGTTAATCGTCGATTCCCAAGCAATAATTCCTTAATTTTATGGGCCTGTTGATCATCAGTTGATGTTGATGGCCGTCCTGGACGTGGGTCGTCGACAACCCGTTCTCGAACCTCTTTGAAAAATTTGTACCAATCAAAACACTTGCAAGCGACAAACAATTATCACCGAAGTTCTTTTCCAACATTCGGAACGTTTTGGTACCAGAAATTTGTTCCGCACACAAAATTTATTGCAACTTTTTTGTTGAATAATTTCCCTCTTCGTAAAAATCGCCGAATGCACTTTATGTACTTCAGAAGACATCTAGTTAATTATGAGGTATTACACTGCGATCTAAGGTCTAATGTGCCCTATGTACTTCAAGAAGGCAAGTGTATAATAAACATTCGTGATTATTTTGGTGCGAGATTTGGCACAGTTGTCACTGATAGTCATAGAAACCTAGAAAAAATATTTCGACGAATGGATTTTCGCGCGAAATATACATAAATTAAAAAGTCTCACTATATTTTGCTCACATTGATTAAACATTCATATTTGTTTAAAATTTTATTTTACATTTATATTTATTTATTATTCTTCTAAAGCATTAATTTTTTTTATTAAAAACAATTTTTAATGAATTTTATTATATTTAATTTTATTTGTATATTTTTTAAACTGTTTACTTTTATTTCAATTATTCTCAACTAATTTTATTATGCAATTTTTTACTTCTGTTATTATTTTTGTATATTGTCTTTTTAATTACATAATTTTTGCATATTTCTAAAACACTTCTCCAACTGAACTACTTCCTTTCACTAGCCACTTAACACTGTTACTTCTCTCGAGCAATCCATTCATTTATTACCAAAAGCAGTTGCTTTTAAACCTTGAAAACATTTATAAAATAAATTCACACACCTCAAATAAGGAAACTCCTACTTTAGAACCCACTTTTATATGTACAGAAACATATGTTTGTAGGTACATAAGGTCGAGTTTGCTTATATAATATATTGTTTATTTAAGATTTTTGCTTTACCTCCAATGGAAATTTTTTTGTACAAATTATGAAATATTACAAGGTTTAAGAAAAAATGTTTGAAACTCTTAATAGAGTTAGGGTTATGATAGTTGGATAGATTGAAATTTAAGAAAAACACTGGCATGTGATCTATTGTGCCGTCTCCTGTCATTACAACACGACATTTAACCAAGTGAGATTAAAGAGGCTTAGTAGCAGCAGAAAACAATTCTGAAGTAATTTCGAGGCATGATACCGAGTTGACAGTCCTTGGCTGAATAAAAATCCAAGTCCATTCCGGTTACTTAGACCCAACAGTCGTGGAAAACGAAAAACGGCTTCGTAAAGTTTCGCGGTTAATGATTGTAATGTGTTCTCTCATGGGATTTACCGACAACCTGACCCCTTCATCTTGCGAATGCGGTTAAATCCAGCAGTATGTGCCTTGCTGTCTTTGCGCTTTGGCCACAGAAGCGACACAAATCCATAGAGCAGTACCCTATAAAATTAAACAAGCTTCATTAATTTGTTTCTGGTAAGAGAAATTAGTTTTTAGAACCGGTTTGTATCAAACTCTCCCTGAAAAAGCCTCGCCTAACGAAGTCTAGACTGGCATTTGTTGACAGTGATGTTTTCTAAAGACACTATCCACTTTTCATAGCTTCTCTAGTAAAGTGTGTAGGCCCACAGCCAAGAAGGGTTTCGGATTCCTACGGACCGGTTACCGTAAATTATTTCGCCAGGACATCGGGTTATGATAAAATTCATTTCAGCAACTATTATGGGGTTATATCCATTTGTGAATTTCAAAAAAACCGATTTATTTCTTTTCTCTTTATAAAATGTACAAAGTTTTTAAAATATTCCCCGAAAATTTAAAATTGATTCGGCATATAATTTCGGAGATATGATTTTTTACAAATTTTACCTTAGTGTAATCGGCTCCCACAGCTTAAAATGCGTTTTTCTCGTAAAATTTTTTTTCAAAGTTTCTCCTGGAGGTTGAATGATCTGTAGATATTTATTAATCATTCAATAATCTAATCGGTTGTAACAGTAAAAATAAGTCATAATCACCACACAAATACTACATAATGTTCATGCTCGGTACACACTCGTGTCCATTCACGAAGCCTTATGATTCACATTCAATATTTTAAAACAACAGTTAATTCACGTTTGATTGATGTGAATTTTATCGTCGGGTATTAATTCTGTCTAACTATACTATATATAGTTTAGCGAGTGGCACGCGGCAACGAATTTGTAATCACATACATATGTTTACAATTACTCGTGATAAAGAATAGACTTGAGACCTACAGTTCGTTTGTTGAAATTATAACAAATTCTCAATCATAGATATATTTGTTAATTGTGCTGCTATCTTTCTATTCTGACATAAAATTATCGGGTTAACTTATGTGATGCGCCTTAAGATAATGATTTCGGCAAGTTCTATGAAAATTATGATTAATAACGACTCCTAAAAGAGCGGAAGTTCTTGACGGGACTTAGGTCTTTTAGGGAAGTTTTGAAATAGAAAAGGCAATAGAAGCGTAGGTTGGGCAAAAATCGGAAATTTGTTCTGGTTTCCGTAGCGGAAGAAGATCGATTTTAAATAACTCCTGTTGTACCACCGAATTCAAAGTTCTTAATCGGATATAAATCCCGGGGCGCTCCAATTATATAGACCCGGCTATTGTGAAAACTGATATACACTTTCGAGTGTCTTTGCAGGAGCTTTATTGGCATAGACACCGCTTACGCGGTTATAGCCGAAGGTATAACAGCGCAATGGTTCTTCCTTTTTGCAGTTTGCCGCAAATTTGAGATTACACAACTCCTTCTCCACCTGTTATTTCCAAGGAAGTGGAGGTCTTCCAATTCCTTTGCTTCTGCTTTCTATTCAGATGAGATAACCTAGCCAGCTTAGCCGCTGTCAATTGGCTGAGCTATGTCAATGTCGTCGTATATCTCGTTTCTTTCTCTCTCGTAACGCCGACACATCAGATGTTGTTTTCGTCCATATAGCAGGCTAGGGATGATGAGTGACTTGTAGAGTTTGGTCTTTGTTCGTCTTCATTGCCTACTCAGTTTGAAGTAGCACTCTTGCCAAGAAATTATTTACTACTTCGAAGTTATGACTGTCAGCAATGACGTAGAAGCCAAGTCGAGAGCGCGACGACTGTTTGTTTGATGACAGGTGATATTTCGTCTTGCACTCGCTCGCTACCAGACCCATTTGCTTTGTTTTTTCATCCAGTCTGGAGAAAGCAGAACTAACGGCGCCGTTGTTTAACTGTACCTTCTCATTTCAGCTTACAGCTCGAATTATTTTCTCCAGTAGTAGATTGAAGAAGCCACACGATAGAATGTCGTCTTGTCTAAAATCTCATTTGGTGTCGAACGACTCGGAGAGGTCCTTTTCGATTCTGCCGGAGCTTTTGGTATTGCTTAACGTCCATTTACACAGCCGTATTAGTTTTGCGGGGATACCAAATTCAGACATGGCGGCATAACGGCAGCTCCTTTTCATGCTGTTAAAAGCAGTTTTGAAATCGACGAAGAGGTGGTATGTAGGCATTCTCTTTTCACGGCTCATTTCCAAGATTTGGCGCATGGTGAATATCTGGTCAGTTGTTGATTTTCCAGGTGCTACTTACATACATATAAGGATTGGTAAAAAAAAACGAGTGTTCTTCTTTCCGCTTCGTATACTGAAAAATTCGCTGATAGACACATCTAAAAAAACGCTCTTCAAGTATAAGCTCTTAATTGAAACGGGAAGGTTCTTCGACTATTGGTTTTCTATTTTTTCTTATTATCATATTGAGCCATCTGGCTTCCAACTACTTGAAAACATATAATATTTCGTTTTGTGGATTGTTTAGAAAATTATATGTCTATAAAACAAACTATGTACCTCAATATCTCACATACATCAATATTGGCCATGATTTCTTGACTAGTTATAGTCTAAACCGTATAGTCGTTTTTACAAATACATATACTTACTCTAGTTCTAATCATTGTATATTTTGTAATTTTTTTGACGCACAGAAAACCGCATCGCTTGGGCCACCTTTCCATATATGCCACTTCTAATCGAGTTGGACATAAGCAGCTGTAATATCGAAATCATAGATCGTGACGTCTTTCGTAACATCACCGGCATACATAGACTGTTTATGTCGCGTAACAAAATGCTCAGCATACCAAAAAACACCTTTCAGCTACTGTCCAAACTGGAATATCTCGATCTGTCCTACACCAATTTGTTAGAACTCGATTCCAAGATGCCAACTCCAACACTCGATGCCATCTGGAATTTACTTCACGGTGTGCACATACAAGCAGGCACTTTCAAAGGACTCAAAAAACTCAGATTTCTCGATATGTCACACACGAAGATAACATGCAACAGCGCCGTATCGTTCGCACAACTTGGTCCTGAGTTGGAGTTGATGAGCTTGTGTTTTACAGCCTTTCCATTGTTCGACAATTCTTTATTCAAGAATACGCGTCTGATGGCACTCGATCTCTCGGGTAATCCGCATGCGGCTTTTAATTGCATCGATGATGCTTTCGAAAGCATTGCGGATACATTGGAATACTTATTCTTCGAATATTCCAATCTGAAAGATCTGTATTGGTTGAAGTATCTTAAGCGATTGCGTGTACTTAGTTTAAGCAATAACAACATCAACACTTTAACATCGGATTATTTTGGCTCACTGGAGAATTTGGAACTTATCGATTTGGCTTACAATAACATCGGCAATTGGTATGAACCAGCATTCGGTAACAACACAAAGTTGCGTGTACTAAATCTGCGCAACAACAACATAAATATACTGAATTATGCAATGCTAAATGATTTCAAAACACTCGAACTTCTCGGTCTAAGCAAGAATAACTTCGCATGTGATTGCTTATTAAGCGATTTGATGGCCTTGGCGGTGCTCAACAATAAAATGGTCGAGTGCGCAGGCAATGTCTCCGACGATAACTCAAACATAATATTGGCTAACAGTGCTAATAACACAAACCACACTGAGGATAATGCTAAGAACAATGTAATTGAACTTAAAACCTTACTATCAGCAGTCTTAAAGAACCTACCGCAGAAACCGTCAAAACGAAGTTACGGAAATCTACATAACTACTATTTGCGACGCTCTGCGACACGTTTGCTCACGATCACACCCAAAGCTTACTTACGTTTAACATACAAAGCATCGGATAACGAATGCGACACCTTGAACTCAGTTAAATACACCAGCGATTTGTGGAATGGCTCAATGCCGCGTTTTCGTTTGATCGACTACGAGGACGATGACTATTGGTGCTTTAATGGCACACAACGAATGCAATTCGAGCAATTGTGTTGTGAGATGACGCCATTAGACAGCATCATTGAGGACGACATACAAAAACTAAGGATTATTGTTATCGTCTCGGTTTGTTCATTGTTGGGCTTATCTTTGCTCATCGCGCTTTTGTATATGAAGCGTTGGCATATTTACTATTATTATTCGTCGCTGAAGTCGGCTGCTTTAATGTCCATGGCCACGAAGGATCAGGTGAACAAGTTCAATGAGTTGGCCGAGAGTGATCCGCATATGGTGTATGACATTTTCATTAGCTACTGTCAGAGTGATCGTGACTGGGTGTTGGAGGAATTGCTGCCGAATGTGGAGGAAACGGACAACATCTCGATATGCTTGCACGAGCGTGATTTTCAGGTGAGTTGAATTAATATGTATACATACATATGTATGTTTAGGTCGATTCGATTGATATATAAAATGAGCTCAACAGTTAGAAATCTTGAAAACTTGAAGTTATAGATGAATTTATAAATATTTTTTAACATCCGGGGATCGCGCCAATTTCGATAATGCTGTCGGAAACACTAAAAGAAACAAAATTGAAAAAATACTACTTTGTTGCTCAAAGTAGTATCAGTTTAGCTCGATACACTTGACCCAACGATTAGATTATATAAATAAAAGAAAAGCATGGATGCAAAGGCCTTTATCCTGCGCCTACAGGCTGCTATGCAGTCAATTAGCAGGTGTTTTGTAGTTTCAGGCTCCATCTCAAACCAATTGGTAATTTGAATGGTGCATCCTTGGAATTATTGCCAATACGCCTCCCTGCCAACTCCTTCATTTTTGCAGCTCCTTTATGGTATTGGGACCAAACATAACGAAAGATTCGGATCCTATCATTTTGGTGGTTGCTGCAGAACGGGCGAGCTCATCAGCTAGTTCATTCCCGGTTCTGTATACTCCTGTACCAATAGCAATTTGATCTCGTCCGCCGAGATCGTTTTTAGTGTCACTTGACTGTCACTGAGTATAAATATACGTTCATTACGATAGTTGCGTTGGACGTTTATCTCTACGCACCGACTTATAGCAAAGACCTCTGCTTGGATTATGCTCTGAATACTTCGCTTAGGTAAGGAATCTTTGGTGCGTGGTTCTGTGATTCCCGCGTCAATTCCTTCCGATGTACGATCACAAAAGTTGTCTTCGTAAGAGAAGAGTCGTTGTTGTTGTAACGGGTACCTAATTTCCGATAGGATGGTAAGGATTAGATAAATTATCATCGATGTCATCCAACGGTAGGCCCAGAAAAGGTGTTGGAGAGGGTTGGACCAAAGGGACGACACCCTTGCCTTGATGTGTAGGGTTAGCAGGGCATGCAAAGAGGTGGCTAGTGTTATGCTTGGACTGATTGCACGTTGGACATATGTATGATTATATAAATCAGGGTCGGGGTCTATTCTGAATAATTAACCACAACCGATATTGCAATTTTGACTTGACCAAACTTCACAAATAGTATAAATATCCAACAATTACTTAATAAAAAAAATATAATGTACTATTCTGCTTTTGCTTCCAGATCGGTGTCGCCGTTCTTGAAAACATTATATCTTGCATGGATCGATCGCGAGCTCTAATGTTAATTGTGTCCTCCAATTTTCTACTCAGCCATTGGTGTCAATTTGAAATGCACTTGGCGCAACATCGGTGAGTTTACTGACAAACTTCTAAGAACTGTACAAGCGCAAAAGAAATCTAACCTCACTTCACTTCATTTATTTACAGCATTTTCGAGGTGGGCAAAGAGCATCTAATTGTCGTATTTCTTGAAGACATACCACGCAGTAAACGGCCGAAAACGCTGCAATATCTAATGGAAGTAAAAACATATATCAAGTGGCCAGGCGCAAAGGGACGTGAAGTCAAACCGGAAGAACGTAAACAATTTTGGAAACGTTTGCGACGTTCCTTAGAGCATATTGGTATTGCACCAGCTGAATCGCATGCGTAACGTAGCCAACCAAAAACATAGTTTAATAAACAAAAAACCCTGAATTACAGTAATATTAAACGTGGTTGGAAAACGGCAAACTAATAAAGAGATTATCAAAGCAAAGTTAAGCACAAGTACCTGATAGCGATTATTTTTAGTAGTATAGCTTTTTGATACTCATTATGGTTAAATTGTTGTTATTATGTAAGACAAAATTAGTAAATTATAACAAAATGAAGAAAAAAGAGATTATGGAGAAATGAGTATGTCTTTAATTTACTGTATATTTGAATGACTTTTCATTGTGACACCGAAAACATTACAAATTACATTACGAAGTAGATAAATATATTTTACAAATTCACTCGGTTTTTAAATGCTTTCATTGAATTTTTTAGTATTTTTTTTTTTTTTACAAATATATAAAATATTTAAAGTTGATATTTTAAATTCTGAAAGCTGCTACAACAGCTACTTATGTAGTCTATATGCTACTTCAGCATATTGTCCTTTATTTACTTTTGTACAGAAGTGTCTTCGTTTACCCTCAATAAATTTTCGATATATCTTCATATTGTATTTTTTCCACAATTCGTCCTTTGAGTGGACCGCGTGAAATCTCTATGGTAACACAGTAATTACGTTCATCTAAACTTTTCAAAAGAGCTTCACAGCCACGATATGCGCCATTTACCACCAATATTGGTTTATCTAGCGCAGGTATAACGGTTTCCAAATGAGCCTAAGAAAAAAATTAAATATTGCCTTATTACTTTTTCTATAAACTTTAAAGATTTGTCAATATTTACCTGATCGACTTTCAGTTTATCACCCGTATCCAGGAATTTGATTTTCGCACGATATTTGTCAATCACTTCTTGTACCACAGCTTTTTGTTTATAGAATTTATCACCCATCGCCTTGTTAATGAATTTTACCACAATACCTGTGTGCAACCAATAATCTTTGCGATTTGCACGTTCTTTTTTCGCTTCCTCTTCCTTAATTAGTTCATATAATGCTGATTTACTGTTTTCCTTACTACTATCCTTCCTCTTATCCAACTTAGGCGTTTTGGGTTTTTTGAATACTTTCTCCTCTATTCCATCGGACTCCTCCCCTGAGTCGTTATCGGTACGACTTTCTGTTTTCGGTCGTTTCAATATCAAGGCAGATGGTCCTAATTTTGTGTCCGGATTGAATTTTTTCTCCAATCTGATATCTAATTTTAATGGCTGTTCTTCTTCTCGCCGCAACTCGGTATATTTTTCTGTTTCATCTTCTTGTGCGCCATCTCTACTTTTCGTTTTTTCAATTTGTTTCTCAATAAATTCCATCATACGTTCTTCATCATCCTTCTCCATTTTCTCTTTCTTTTCTGCTTTTGCTTGTCTCTCCATTGCTTCGGGACTTCTATCGATGTAGGTGACATACCAACCTTTTTCTGTTTCATCGGCTATTACTTGACCGGTACGTCCCAACCATTTAACATAGTCTGACAGCGTAAGCCAACGTGTGGCATTCATGTGAATATGATCTTTTACGGAAATGTATTCCTGATACACTTTATTGGCATTGACACGTTTAGTGCCGAAACGTCGCCGCAATAGCTCCATATATCCATCAGAAAACTCTTTAGAGAAGCTAAACAAGAACTTTCCTGGTGAATCGGCGAACAGAAGGAGTTGCCGTTGATGTGATTCACTCATTGTGTGACACTTAAAGCCATTCTCATCACGGCACTGTTTCTCACACATTTGGCAGTACCAGCGGAGCTTCTGCAGACCCTTCGCCTTCATTTTGTTGGCAAGGTACTTCGGTGTACCGACTTCAGCGCGCCCCATGTTGAAGAGTTTATGTAATTAGTTTTATGCAAATAAATTTACGCAGCTTTAAGTTAAACGTTTAAACAAATTTGTGTCTATCAACAATTGAAGTACGCCAAAGATATGTAAACATAAGAGTACTGTCAAATTGAGCAGCTGTTTCGGTCTAGACAGAGTTGCATACGTGCTTATCTTTCTGTCGAAAAGTTTGAGAGACTGACTAACAGTTTGGGAGGAGCTGTGTGAATAAAAAGGGAAATTGAAAGTTTTCTTGTTAAATTTGAAATTCAGGATGCAATTTTGAATTTTGATAACAATTGTTCAATGTAAGAGGATTATATATTGCTGTTGTGACCATTTGACGTCACGGAGCCATTCGTGCGCTCTCATATTCTTTCTGTGCATACAAATCAAATTATATTGTGGTGACCTTGACAACATCTGGCATGTCCATCAACTTGTATTTAGAAACTTCTAGTCCACCAATTTCACTATTACAACAAAACTGATATAAATACTCTGGAAACATTCGTACATACATATGTATGTGGTTCAATTTGTTTCAATAACGGAAAGTTTTTCTTCGCCACTTATTATATGACCTTGATAACAGCTGGTAATTCCCCAACCTAAACTTCCAGCAACAAACAATTCCATTTGCGTAACGATTTAGCTAGCACGATACCCCGAGTTTATAAAATCAACAACAATAGTTGTTGTAGCCACTATAAAAGCAACACAATATGGCCACTATAAAAGCAACACAATATGGGTTATCCTTTAGTATAACCCGTATTATAACCTAAAAAAAATTTTGGATATAAAAGAAAGTAATAAATTAACAGCAACTTGACAGCTTTTTTGCTTTGTTTTTAACTTTATTAGCCGTTAAATTCTTGTTTCCTCATATATGTTTGTTGTTATTGGTAGCAGTTCTTTTTATTATACATGTTTTTTTTTTTTGCCTTTTCTAATTCTGTATATTTCTACATTGTTGTATATGTGTATATAAATTACATCCGTTTTTTGTTTTAATTAACAAAATTATTTTCTTCGCAAATTAAATTGTTAAACATATTATTTTTTGTTTATAATTTTTTTGCATACAATCCAAATTGCTGTTAGACGCAAAAAATGCTTTGCTGACGTTGAAAACGTGACGTCTGCTTTGCAGGCAGTAACGGACAGACAGGTAGACGAAGCGCAATGTAGTTTCGTGTGTGGGTTTGTGTGCATAATGAACGATGATTGGACGACCGCAGGACGCACGCCAATCATAAACCATATGTAGTAGCATAAATGTATCCACAAACATATATGCGCCGACGAAATGTTCTGATTTAATATATCACCATGATTGTGATTGTTGGTCCCGATTCATATTCATGCGGAGTAATGCTGTTGAAATAAGCTTCTTGCGCGCTGTTCGTTGTACGCTTTAATGTTGTTTTATCGCTTTGTTGGCATTATACGACACGCTACTTCCATTTGAGGTATTGCTTGCTATGAGTCTTCTGGATTGGGGAATTTTTTATGTTTTTCTTCTTAGTTACATACATACAAATATATATATACTATTATTTTTTCAATGATTTTTAACAATTGTCTTTTGACATCAACAATTCGATGAATATTCGCACGCTGTTTCACTTTGTGATGTCAGCAGAATTACGCTTGTATTGGAAGTGAATGTTGTTGTTTTTTAAAGATTGTTCTTTTAAATTTAAATATATTTTTCATTATTTTTGCAAATGGAAGAAAATTTTTTTAAGTATAAAAAAAAAAAAACAAAAAACAATAATTGTCTAATAGTCATCTATGTCGAAGTAATCATTCCCATCTTCTTCGAGTTGCATACTCTGGAAGTCCACTTTGTAGCGTAAAATACCTGCAGAAGACAAAAGAAATTTTGAAACAAAAGAAAGTTTATATTAGTATTTCATTTGTAGTTGATAGCGTGCAAATGATTATATTGATAAATGGAAAAATAAATAAATAAAAATAAACTAAAAACTGGACCGTGTGTTAGGCATACAAATAAATAATATTTGTTTACAAAATTAAACGCTAGATTACTTTTTATACTACTAATAAATTTTGTAGCAACAACACAGTCCACTTAGGTATATATGTACATAAAACATATGTACATGTATACAAATAAAGAGCATTTTACACATACGAATTACAAAAAAAAAAAAAAGTTTACAGAAATTACTTAAAAACATGGAGTAAAAAAGTATGCATTATGCTACAAATGATGAAATTAATTAAATAAAATGCGTGAATGATTTTTACGCAGCAATATTTACCTCTAAGACTTGTACATACATACACACATATGTATTTGGTTGCCTTAGCAGTTAAACTAGCGCACTTGGCTAATCTTTACGCTTACAGATTATGTGGATTTACAAGCCACGGGAGTGCAAACGCAAAGGATAACGGACAGGATGGTAAGGATTTTTAACAAAATTTAAATGAATAAAAAAAAAAAGTTCCTAAAGAAATTGATCGGTGTAAAATAGTTTTGGCATAAAAAAAAATCGTTATTATGTGAATAAAATAGAAGTCAGCATAGAAAACGTATTTGTGCGATTTTTACAGTAGAAGAAAAATTGAAAA